AATAAAAAAAAAAAAAAAAAAAAAAAAAAGATACCCTTCTCCACAGTCTCCATCTAATTTAAAGCGTTCAATACTTAACCTGCAAAGAGAATTTGGCCTGGGTAATGACAGCAAAGAAATGACTCTCACCTGATATTTTGGGCATTGCTCTTTTACATCAGAAGAGGAGGACGATGAATTGATTGAACTGTCCAAAGATGAAGAACTGTCTCCACCAGGCTTCAGTTGGCAGCATTTCCCAAAGACTCTCACCTGAGCATCACTGCAGAGTTTCTGAAAAACAAAAAAACCTGACTTGTCACAATAAGGGTCACATACTTGAAGCCACTGCTTAGCAGCACTAGAAAGGACTGGTGTATTTTTCAATTTGAGAAGTAAACTGAGCAACAAAAGGAGTATCTGCAGAAAAAAAAAGGTAAGCAGAATAATTATTCATCTCTCTTAAAGGCTGTCTTGTCTGTAAAGAAAGAAACTGTTTTTTTTTAACTTAGAAACCAAACTGGGAGTTCACAAAACACCACAACTCTATTTTTCAAGCAACTAAAGGTAGCCTTAAGAGTTTTTACAAAGCAAGATTTGGGGGCATGATTTTTCCATCTTTATTTTAAGCACCAGCTGGCCAGGAACCCAGAAAAGGCACAGACCTGAAAACAGAGGTTAACGGTAGAAAGAAATCAAGATGGATTCTGGGAAAAGTGGAGAGGGAGTAAAAAGCCTGTATGAGGCAGCAGGAAGAGAATATATTGCGGCATGAATGAGAGGAGTTTGCAAAGCTCGAGGAATAGAAGCAGAGATGCAGGCTGCTTTTGGACTTGCACACAGGTATTTAGGTATATGGGGCATAATGAGCTAAAGTGGGGGTGATCGCATGGATCAACATGCCCAGCAAAATAGGCCCTTAGACACTAGACCTATTTTCAATGTCTCAAAAAAAATGTAGGTCCTTAGCATTATGGAGTATTTTTTTCATCTAAGGACCTCAAAGTACTTTTCAGACACTAATTAAATCATAGAAAGCCTGCAGGAGGTAGGCATTTCTCACACTCCTGGTTGGCAAAATTAAGGTACAGACAGCTTACACTTTTCCAAATTGCACAGTGACCTGCTGATATTGGCCTTCTTTCCCTTAAAACTTACCACCTCAAACTGCTAGACCACTACTAGCAAGTGGAAGCATTCCTATGAAGGATTAAGGCACAGAGATTAGAACCCATGCATGATGCTCTGGCTTCTGGGATTGCACATCTACATCAACTGCTCAAATGTCAAGTTAAAACAGGGTGCAAATTTCTAGACCTCATGGTTCTAACCAAAAGAATGAAAAAAGTCTGCCCAGTTGTCACTGATGGAGCAGACATCTGCCTGAGCCTGCAAAGTACCTGAGAGCTGTGAACTGTCCCATACATTTGAATACAGTGTCAACTCCAACAGCCTGCTTGGGGGGTCTTGCCAACTACCTTTCAGTACTGGACACTATTCATGGTCCAGCCCATTCCCTCAAGAAGGTGCACTGTAAGCCCCTCTCCTAGCACCCTTGCAATCATGTGCCTGATGGGTATGGGATCATTTGCAACTACTCAGGAGAAGGGAAAGGGACTCTTTGCTAATCTAAGTGGTGTTGGGACTCTCAGGTTGCCACAGTGCACTGGTTTGCTTTAATGTGGCCTTAAGAGTAGGTAGGACTCAGGCAGCCGCATTAAAAAAGGTAGTACTGTCTAACTCTGCCTGTACTAGACTCTGCACTGTTTCTAGGAAAGGTAGAGTTGCCACAGGGGAAGGCAGGGAAGTTCAATCCCCGACCTGTGAGCCAGATCTGGCCCCTGGTCCTATGTCATCCACCCTGTAGGGCTCCTTACAGGCCCATGGCACCAGATTAGGTGCACAGGGTGGTGTGGGGCCCATGTGGGGCTGGGTGAGGGCAGTGGAGAACTGATTGCAGCACACAGGGTAACACAGGGCCCCAGGGCCCAATCCCAGCACATTAGGCTGGACAGGGGTGACACAGGGCCTGATCTGGCCCACAGACTGACCCTACGCCATTCATCTGGCCTGGGAGGCCAAAACCTCAAGCACCAGTGCTTTAAGGGCAAATATATGCCCACATCTTAGTGAGTCTGAGGCAGAGGCAGGGATAGAATTTTGTTCTCTAGCCTTCCCTTTGAGTTTTAGCCATAAACTTCTTCCCCTGGTAACAGTCTCCCAGCCTGATTCGGGTGTGCACACTGAACTCATGCAACGTGTAGGCTTGCTAATGGCCAATATTTGTGACTTGTGCATAGTACACAATGGCTGGAACATGTGAATGACAATCATATGACTTTAGTAGGAACTCGTGAACTGGAGTTGCATTTTATCTCTGACACAAACAACAATGGCCTGGGCTAGGCAAGCATCATGTGATGAAACCACATTAAATCCACAGGGTTACAGCAGGTTTTGCAGGCAAACCACATTTCAGCTTTGCATTTTCCATCACATTTTGCAAGTCCTCTTTAAAAGATGTGATAATAAGCAGGCATCTATCAGTTTATAGATCTGTTATAGCCACACATATATACACATATAGGAATAAAAAACCCATGCACTGAGTCTAAAATTTGCATAACCTAATCACTTTTCTTCACCAGCACTTAAATATATTTTTGCATAGCAGCTTTCTGAGACTTGCTGCTAACCAAGATACCCTGAAGTTAAACTTTCCTAATTTAAATACTAGAAGGGAAGAGCTGTTTGGTCTTTGCAATGGAAAGTAATGAAATAAGGATCCTGTGAAGTAAGAGAGGTCAAATGCTCAAGATCTTTTAGATACCATCTGTCAGCAGCTTGAAGGTAGCAAATCATCTCTAAAACACAGAACACTGAAAAAATTTTGGGACGTACAATTTTAGTATCTAGCATGTGTGCAAGAGCAACCTGGCAGGCTGCAAGATCAAGTATCTGCTATGCACCACTCTGCTGTAGTTATTGAATCTGAATGTCAATGAAATATTAGATGCAACAAATCACCAGATATTATGCAACAAAGGAATGGGATGACTGCTGCTCTAGTATAATATTCCAGGCATACTCAAGTCAGGTTTCCAAAAATAAAGAGGTAACTGTAGCATCCACCAACGTGCCCAAGGAAAAAAGACTCAAATCCATACTTTCTCCTCCCAAAGGAACATGGCTGCAATAAATCAAGTCTCTAGGCCAACTGCTCCTGGCACCCTCTGCAAAGCACAAGGTTGCCAGACACAGAAACATCTGCTGACAGGACGTTGCAGGCAGCCTGCCTCTCTTGGCTGCCATGCTGGTTTCCCACTGCTGTCATGCTCTCTGTTCCTTTCCTGCTCGGCTCCTTGTACAATGGTCTATGAAGGCCTGGCAGTATCCCCTGTACAGTGTTCGTATATGTAAGATCTTGCTGGTGGGGCTTTGGTGAAAGACATGGTCACACAAGGTGCCCAAGTAAATGGCACTAAGAGCCTGTTCTGAAGCAGCACTTCCTCAAACGCCTTGCTTTCAGAGCCTCCAGCTATATACCTCTGTACGTAGGCTCTTTTCTCCAGAGTCTTCTTCAACCCAGAGGGTGCCCAAGGCTGCTCAGCTTTTCCCACCCCCTTTGACGGCTTTACAACAGACTGGCAAAGGTCTGCAACTTCTTTACTGAATGGGAAGGAGGCATGCAGCACCTCTGCCTCTTACTCCATATCTACCACTTAAACAGAACAGGACGAAAATACAGAAACCTTTAAGAGGTAGGGGGAGCCAAAGTCAAGGGGTTGGTATGGTAAATGAGAGTAAGGTAGGTGAGGGGATGGGTTTCTTTTCCTAAATGAGGTATTCATTAAAAGAGACTGAACAGGACTAACACAGGAGAACTAACATTTGCAAGGTCTCAGAACTAACACAGCAGCGGGGAGAGGAGCCCGAGGCTAGTCATGGAGGAGGCTGTTTCTGAAATGACCAGTGAGACTGAAATAAAGCAGAGAAAGGAAAAGACAGGACATCTCTATATAAAAGCTGCAAGAATCTAAGAGCTGTGGATCCTCGTCAGCTGGAGGAGGGAGTTTCCTCATGGGGTAGAAAAAGTGCATTTAAAAAGATAGTCTGCGTAATAAAGAAAAGCCATGTAGCAAAAAGGAACTGGGGCGGGGAGGAGGGGCAGGGGGAAGGACTCAGAGACTACAGGGCAATTAAAAAAAACCCTCAATATCAACAAGAATCATAAGAAGCTTTCAGCCTGTGAATTCTCCATTTGGACACCCTCACCCCCAAAAGCAAAGTGGGCACTGTATTAAGGAAAGATAAATTGTTCTCATAGAGCAAAACTGATTCTCACATTTGATTACTGTTATGGTCTGAACTGTAAAAGCTGATAAATAAATATTTGTGCATCTGCCTAGAAGAATAAATTATTGCCCATTTTTCCAGCTCCATGTGTAAGAGGAAGAACTGCTGTTTTTTAAAACAGTAATCATGTAAATTGCCTGATTTTTTTCTTAGAGTTGTTGGGCTCCTGTGTGCATTTACAAACAGGAGAAGCAGGGAAGATAACCCTCCACAATGCTACGAATATGCCTCCATATCTATTTAGAAGGAATATCAATGGTTGAGAAGATTCAGACTATTTACCATTACAGCTGGCATCTTCATCTTCCTACTTAGTCTCTTGCACTCTGAAAGCTTGTTCACTAGGAAGCAGACTGAGATCACCATCTCAATTTCATATAGGTCACTTCAAAGGCAAAAGGCTCAATATCCCATCACTAGTCTCTCGAGCAATTTAGTATCCCAACATTTCTCCCATCTTCCAGCTTTGTAGAATGCCTGGCTTGTTTAAAACAACATGCCACTTATGTGCTTTTGGAGAAGTGTGACCTCGTAAGTGACAATTTACAAAGTTAAGTCAGTATTTAGTTAAGTGTCACCCATCTTACCGTACAGTTAAAGTATGTAACTTGGTGAAAATGGGACTCGCGTGCCCCACTGTCTTTGGGCCACCTTTTCCTCTTTAACCCAAACGTTACAATCCTTGGATCACTTTCTTCTTGAATCCCACAGGCTTCCCTTTCCTGTCCTCTTTGACTCTCACTTCCCTGTTTCCCACTCTTTCTAAAACGTCACAGCTACAAGTCCTCCTCCACTCTCGACCCCTGGAGCAGGTCACTTCCTTCTTCAGCTTCCTTTTCTACTCCTACCTATCTTCAGTGCCCATTCACATTTTGACTTGCAATCAATGTTCTCTACAACTTGGCTCCTACTTACAGCTCTGCCTTTATCCCCATCTATTCTTCCTCTAGTTCCTCCGATTCTCCTTGACCACTCTGGATGTCCTACTCCTTCCAGGCTGCCACAAACTCAAAAACTCACTTGTGTCTAAACAACTCTCTGCAGTAAACTCCCTCTCTGAAAGTGTCCTTTGCTCACCAGACTGAACCATGAAACATCAGGGCAAAACACAGAGCAAAAATGTTGCTAAACAAGACTTATAGGAAAAAACAGTCTTACCTATATTTCTCCCTAGGGGAGGCTTTCCTTCAGGGCTCCCCTCCCACTGTTTTCTTTAGTTTCCCTTCCTACCTCCCCCATGTGGCATCATTTCTGATATGTTCTCATCCAATTGGACTGCCAGCTCTTTGGGGCAATCACATCGTGTTTCTACTTGTCTTTGCATGCCAGCCACACTTATGTTTACAGTGCCATATGAATAACATACAGCAACACCATAATATAACACAGTACAGTACTGGGGAGTCCCAGCAAACGGCCAGCGTGAATGCGGCGTCAAGGTTGAGAAGTCAAGCACTCATTTGAAGTGTCAGGAAATGTAGAGTGCAGGCAGAGAATTTAGCCTGGGCCTTGCCATCTGGTTCATGCATCTTAAAAGGAATGCGAAAAGTCCGTTTTCTTATTATAGCAAAGTTAAAATCAGGTCCTGTTTTACTTTTTCAAAGACTTCTGAAGAAAGCCTTTCCCTGTCCACAAACTTAAAACCTTGGCCTCACTGAGAAGGCACATGCCCAAGTCATCTCTTGGTCTGGATTTTGCATATTCAGAGGAAAACAAGGAGTGGAGGATGGGGAAAGCGTGAAGGATAAAAAGGACTGGGCATAGATGTGAGGATACCAGGAGACATCCCAGTATGGGGTAGATGCTGTTTCCTACAAATAGCATAAGGCAGTGCCATGATGGCCGAGTCCCACAGCTGAGGTATGAACACCAAAATTCACATTAACTCAAGTGAATTAGACCAACAAAGCTGCCAGTAAGACTAATGCGACTAATTCAAACCTCTGAGTAACTGATGAAATTTGAAAGAGGTAGGTGTTGCATGTGGACCCAAGCTATTTGGTAAAGGCATTAGTAATGACTCCTCTTTGCATCACACAGTCATTATGCAAATAATTCCTGTGCTGATACATCTCCTCATGATCTGGTGTCACAATGTTGAGAAATGCTATCACTTTCTTCTTCTGGGATCCTGGCAAAACCAAAAGTGGAGCCTTGCCCAACTTTCTGCTGTTTATGAGGGAAAAAAGAATCGCCACCAGCCTACTTCAGCAGAGGGTCTAAGATGGCATAAGGCACCTGGATACAGAAGGCTGACTAATTAATAGGACATCCCTTGAAACACTGGGAAAGAGCTGGTGGTGCCAAGTACCAAAAAAGGTCCGGGATACACAAACGGGAATCGCTTTGCCTCATCCTACAGGCCAAGCACCCAACAGCTGTCCAAAGTATATCTCCCATCTAAGTGAAAATGCCTGGCACACCACTCAGCCAACATTCTCAGGATGCACAGCCTAAGGCTTCTGGCCCGTGGATCCCTTGTCAGCCTGGCTGAAGGACTTTAACCCTGCAAAGCCCAGGAAAAAGTAACAACCTCTCCTACAAAATGAGCTACAGGCCGTCCTCACCAAAGCTATCAATTGTAGTCCCATTTCAAGTAATAACAAACACACCACATTATTCATTCAGGAGTGCATCTAATTGTCCTGATCTTTATTTTCCCCTTTTCCTTTCATCATGCTTCATTTGTTCTGTACTTTATACTTTTAAAAACCGGAAAGACAAAATAAGCTATGGTCCTAGTATTGTGGCTCATATTAATCTATCATCTTGTGACTTTTCTGCTGAAGGCTCTCTACAATTAATAGATCCCTCATTTAAATGCAAATTTAATTCTCTGTCCCCACCGCGCATGTCACTTATAACCCTATATCTGAGAAATCAGACACCTGCCTTCAGCACTTACTGTTTCAACACTCCAAAATCTCACTGACTACTTCTTTGGGTTACGAGACAGGAGTCAAAGGAAATCTATATCTATATCTATCTATCTATATATAGACACCAAACAGAACTGATATTACTTTACATTATCATCAAGCACATAAAGGAAACAATGATAATGTAAAGTAGAGTTAATTTCATGACACTTCTTGGAAACAGTACAAAAATCAGAAATGAAGAGTTGTTGCCCAGCTGGCTATACAAGGAAAAGAACAGCCTACACAGTCATATGGTGCCTTGGGGCAGGATTTTCAAAATTGCTTGGCCTTTGCCTAACCCAGTGGACTTCAAATCAATTGGTTAGACTGGTGCTGAGGATTTTTGCAAATCTCATGCTTTGTATATCTGCAAACTCACAGAGATACAAATCACATTAGTAAATCCAAGGAGGGAAGAGGAGAGAGAGCAGAAGGCATTGACTTCTGTGAAGCACTTAACAGATACTCATTCACAACAGAGAGCCCATCCCACACACAAGTCTTACTGCAAAAGGGCAACAGTGCCTTGGAATGTGCTTAGAGCCAAGATCTCTCTCTTTATATATGTAGGGTGTGTCTTTGTTAATGAAAATCAGGATGGAGTGGGGAAATAACACAACTCCTTGAAAAATTCCAGTTTGTAACCACAGAAGACTACTGCACTAGGAGCAAGCTGAGCTGAAGACAGCTGGACACAAGTTTTACCTGCAAAACCCAACTGTTACTGAAATGTTGTGTTGAGTCATGGAAGGCTGCATGGGATGACCCTGCCAAGGTGGGAAGTGTGACAAGAACTGTGTCGTCAACAATTCTCCTCTCATGAAAAAAAACCCAAAACTTATATATATAAAAGCATTGGAGGTTAGCACTATGCATTTTACTTCACAGCCTGGGAACAATTCCTTATCTGATAGTTATTTTATGGGGATGGGGAATACAGTTGGCTATTTTTTCCCCACTGAGACATGGCACAAAGAACAAGAAGAAATTGTGGTGGAGTGGTATTGGCTGAACTGTCAGTCTAATGAAACAAAAGTATTTTTAGTGGAACTCTATAGATATTCAGCTGTCACAATGAACTACGCTTCCAATAATAAAGCCAGCCTACAAAATTCAAAAGTTCACTGTATAAGTAAAGACACTCTTTTAAATGTGTTTTCTAGACTCAAAGAAATTGATAGGAACAGAAATAGGCGGCACAGGTATGTACTACAGACTGACAAAACCTTGTTTATTACATTTTGTTTTGTGACATATGAGCAGAACTCTTTTTAAAAAGTATGAACTCTTTTGCTGGCAAAGATACATGGACAGTTCTGTACTTTTAGGCTAATAAAACTGCTAAGGGTTCAAAATTAAAAAGTAAGGGACGTCTAAACATTTTGTGATGTCACAGGCTGCTGCTACAGGAATTAAACCCGAGTCAAATATCAAATCAAAACTCCGCAACAAGGAAACCCGGTTCTTAACTTGTGGATATAAAGTTGTTATATTCAGCTATGAAGAGTTGTGAAAATCTATGCTCAGAACCACACAGAGTTCCCACAAGAATTCGACAGGGTATTTGGTGGAAGTAGCAGGCAGTCATAATCTGGATAAGAAAGAGCAAATTGCAGCTGCTGTCAAACTTGGCTGGTGCAGTTTACAGATATGCTCCTGCACCCAATGCAGAAAAGATTTTTTTGTGATAAAACTGCCATTTTACGTAGCCATACTTAAAGTACCTAGTTTTATACCCATTAGGCAGCACCTAATGGAGATAACCAAACATGACCAAACTGAGTTCATGCAGTGCCTAATATCTGTACCTTTGCAGGTGGAGAAAATGAGGGTCAGAGAGGCTGAGTGACTTGGCCAAGCTCACACCAGCAGTCAGTGACAGGACCAGGACTGAAACTCAACTCTCTCATGCCTGACCCCTACAAACATTCTCCTTTGTCCTGCTCTAGCAGTTACTTTGTACATTCACAGATCAATAAACAGCAGGTCATTCTGCAGCAGAAAGGCGAAACCCCCAAAGCTTTCAAGAAACTTTCTGCCAAAGAAGTGACACAAGACACCAGAAAAAAAGGTTGGCAAAAGAACACCAAGACCTGGGACGCAAGACGCAAAGGGACTTCCTGGGTCAGCTGGTCCAGTTCTCTGCCACTGCAGGCTGCCACATCATATGATCCCCATCATAAACAGATCAAATTCTCGGTTCCTTCTGTGTCATGGTCTTCAACCATATCGGCATAGCATTGCATGGCTAGGGGCACAGAAAGGAAGACATCTCTTTTTCAAAACTTTTCAAAGTTGAGGGTGAACAAAGAAAAGTCCCAGAATTAAAAGATGTCAAAAATATTTAGAGCTGTTAGAGGCAATCCCTGAAGCCTGAATAATGTGCTACACACACACACACACACACAGATTGTGTGGCAAAATGATCATGTTTATGTTCAAAGGGTTAACAAATAAACGAATACAAAATGTTTATTGTCCTGACCTTTGTGTATTCACTCCTGTATTATGTAAAAAGAGAAGTCATATATTATAATCATATTTCAGCTGAAAAATACTCACCGACACAGGCACATCCTCATTTTTCCTTTTAACACTGGAGTCAAATAAGACATTCCTCCCTCTTCTTTCACAGTCCTGATACACAATCAGTCGGATCTGACTTGGGTCAAACTCTGGTAAAGGCCAGCTTTAATGAAAAAATAAAAGAAGCAGAAAAATTTATTACCACAGTGACTTCTGACATTGCTTCTTTACAGTATTTTTTTAATAAAGCTAGATGTTCAAATAAAGTCCAAGAGATGCAATGACATTTTTCTTAAAAACCCTTTGATCCTGTGCAAACATTGCGCTTTCACTAGAAAGTGCTTGTAAATAAATAGCTGCAGTGCCATGGCTTAAGTTGTGTGACACTCCCAAAGTAATTATTTATCCAGTGTTGTCAATTCCTGTGCTGTTATCACATCTTGTGATTTTTTTCCTCACAGTTCCAGCTGCCAGAATCAAGGAACCGCAGGAAAATGCAGTGCTATCTGTGAGCATTTAGCTGCATAACTGAGAAGGCTTATGTGCCAAAGCTACCATGCATTTCCCATCTTTACCTGTCAAAAAACCCCACTGCAATAAAATAATTCCATTAAACCCTTTGTGATTATCTTGCTATTCTTATATCAGACCAGAATCGCAGGTCACAGCTACCCACAGCTATGAGAGAACAGATCTTCAGTAAGTGTAAAACAATGTCCTCCAATACCAGGACAATCACAATCCCAACTGCTATCATAGGTAGGGACCTACCTAAATAGCAGAAGTTCGTGGTGCAGAGGTACCTTTAATCCCAGTCTTTTCGCTGTGCATCCTCCCCCACCAGTCACTGGTCAAGAGGCAAAAACCACAGGTAGGGGTGTGGGGGTGTATGTGTAAGGTGCCATGAACTTCTGCCACTATTTAGGTAGGTCCCTAATCACAGGTATTATAAAGTGTGTTACTAGACTGGGGCCAAACTGAGAGCTCACATTATGGGTTCTGAAAACACATTTATTCCCAGCAACTGATCCGGTAGCCTAGTAATAAGACATGAACGTCTGAAAGCTCCACATTCAGGATGTCCACTGAATTTTGTGGAAGCTTCACAAATGAGGATCTTGTAGGGTTCGAGCCTGAAAGGCCCTTTTCCCCTCTTTCTATGGATGGTTTTGCTTTTATTACTACACAGTAAATTTGTTAGTACTTATCATGAACAACTTCATTGTACAGAACTTGCTCTGCAGAGGTTTGACTGCATGTATCGCAGTAAGTCAAATAAAAAAAAAAAAAACACTCTTGCAGAATAACTAAAAATGACAAACCAAGCCAAAGATCAATGCTCTGCACTGTCACAGGAGATCTCTGGGACTTTAACTTGTGGCTCTTCATTTCCTGGAAATAAAAACTGCTAGATGCCAGTTCCACCCACAGAGTAGGCAGGATTTGCTTTCCATACAATAAAGAAGAGCCACTTTCTAAATCAGCATGAAATTCTATCTAGCTATCCTTGCTATAAGAGATGTAACTCTATCAAGGAGAATCACATGGAGCTCTCTCTGACAATTACAGAAAGAAACTTATAGTAAATCAGCTGGAGCAAGACTCCTTGTCCCTAGAGAAAGAGCTGCGCCTGCCCATATCTTTTTGACAATTAGATGCCTATAAATTAACAGTTGGGAATTTTAGACGCATATCCCTAAAACAACATTAAGATTCATTGTTCCCTATTTCCATGACTTGACCCAAAAGAAAGTCACCTCCCCTCTGACCCCCTTAGTGAGTGATACAATATAAGTCACCTACAACCTGCCAACTTCTGTAGCAGAACTTAGCTACAGAAAATTCATTCAATAGTCAGTGGCTACATATACATATTCAAATCATCTGAGAGAGTTCTCCCAGGTTTATACTCTTGGTAGAAAAAAAAAAAACCTCACTCAGAGCTGCAGGTACAGACATTCAAATGCTGAAACCCTGGAAAGTGAAAAGTTTGCAGTGCTGACACTGCACAGCCTAAGGGTGGTGGAGGGGAGGCCAGAGGCACACATCACAGCATGCTCTGCGAGCTCCCTTAGTTTGCCTGGCAACAGATGGCAGTAGTGCACAGGACAGCCCTGCTTGGCTGACTTGGACTGCCCATGGTCAGCTTGTGTTTCCCTGCAGCACAATGTGGGGCTTGTGAAGAGGGTGTGTTCTGGGAGCAGTAGAGTCCAGGGAGTGACATAGTGTCTCCTGGGGAGAAAGGAGGAAGTAGGGGTTCTGGAGGACTATGTTCTCTTCTGGGAGAAATCACAACATGTACAGACCTTTCTCTCTCCCAAGAGAAACTCTTTTAGGACTGATTTAACCCTGGTTGTTCCCAGGTTATTTGTCTCCTGGAGCAGCCATTTTTAGTCTGGGAAAAAATGCTGAAGAGCTATAAACATGTGGTTTCTCTTAGGCGAGCAGAGACTAGAGAAACTGAATGTCTGTATGAAGCCAAAGATACAGAATCCTCCCCCCACCCAAAAAAATTGGGGAAACTAATAGAAATTCATAAGCTTTATAACTTGTGTAAGATCATCTAGAAGGAATCTGGGTACTGTAAGTAGAATTACCTGGGCCTCTTAAGGAAGGAAGTCCATTTTCTCAACTGTTTGGCTTCTACCATTTAGTAACAAGAGAG